TTATTGGTCGAAGAAGTATTTATAAGCTTTATGATTGGCTAGTAGAGACTTAGACGTCATTAATCGCTCTCGGAGCGATTAACCCAGGGCCAGTCAAACAAGCTATTGACTCCTGCACACAGGACGCGGTAATGTTTGCCGCGTGGCGGAAGTTCGCGCGACAGTCAACCAATATGCTGCTTTCCGTAATAATTTTCTAGCTCTTACGGAAAAACAACATATTAATTAGCTGTCGCGCGAACTTCCGCCGCGCGGCAAGGATTACCGCGTCCTGTGTGCAGAAGCCATTAGGCAACAGTTTCCCGAAAAATGGAGGAAATAATGGGAGTTTACGTTAAATCGAGTACGAGTTAGTTCCACTAGGGTCGAAAAATGTAATAGGCACAACCATCTAGTATCTTCATGGTTCAATACAACTCAGTACTGCTTTCCGATGCTCGAGTAGAGTTAGTTAGAGTTAGCTAGAGTAGCATAGCGGATAACGTAAGCATCAGGTAGTTAATTTTCAAAAAATGTTAGTTATTAATAAGTTTAATCTCATATAGTATGTTTATACCGAACGTTTAATACGCGTACCAATTAGTAATTTTATGTTAAATTATTTTGATTTCGGCAATGTATATAAACAACGTCATATTGAAGTAATACAATATTGATTAGAAACACGTATCGTATTAATTAAATATATTGTATCGCCGAAATTAAAATAATTAGATATAAAGTTACTAATTGATACGCGTATTAAACGTTCAGTATAAACATATTATATGAGATTAAACTTAATAATAACTAACACTTTTTTTAAAATCAACTACCTGATGCTCACGTTATCCGCTATGCTACTCTAATTAACTCTAAATAACTCTACTAGAGCATCGGAAAGCAGTACTGAATTGTCTTAAACCATGAAATACTAGATGGTTGTGCCTATATTTTTCGACCCTAGTGGAACTAACTCGTACTCGATTTAACGTAAACACCCAATGTTGGTACCAAGGAAAACCTCTACACGATATAATTTAAAGATCTGTTCTTTGTAACTGCACACTGCTGAACTAATGCAAAAGGTTAGAGTAAAGAAATGTATACTTGTCTCACTTCAATTTATTGCACCAGTTCAGCAGTGCAGTTACAAAGAACAAATCTTTAAATTATATCGTATAGAGATTTTCCTTGATTACCAACATTATCCCCTCCACTTTTCGGGAAACTGTCGCCTAAGGGCCGTGGCACACAGAAAAACTTAAGCAGTAAGCAAATTGACCAATCACAGTCGTTGATTCTTCTTACGGTCCAAGAATCAACGACTGTAATTGGCTGATTCGCTTACTGCTTACGTCTTACTGCTTAAGTTTTTCTATGTGCCACCAGCTTTACTGTTATGTCAATTCGTGTGCGGCGCCCTTGCACACCCCTTAGAATTAGGGCCCTTGCAGAATGTCAGGCAACAGGCAATAGGAACAAGGAATAGAAATAATTGACCAATCAGAAATTCTATTCTCTGTTCCTATTGCCTGTTGCCTGGCATTCTGCAAGGGCCCTTAAAGCAAAGTTGTGGACAAAGGGTAAGAAAAAGAAAACTCTGGTTGTAATTAATAATGATCTTTCTCGGTAGGGTTCCTCGATTTTACTAGGAAAAAATGAGAATAAAAGAACATGCGTGATTCTAAAAGAGATATATAAGTATTCATAGTCGGATTTTATATTTAAGACCGTCTTCAGATGATGAACGAATAATTTCATTGGTTGCGGAGTATCTGAAAAGGAACTTAAGATTATCTTAAATATAAGACTATGAATACCGGCTATATTTACGCGGTATGTCGCGCGCGTGCATGCGCACACACCACACATACACACCACACCGGCTAAGTTTGTTGGAAAATAAAGAGAGACGAAAGAGGTTATTTTTGGAAATATTTGGCAGGTATATCAAGTGCATTTTCGTTTAAGGCAAGGCAAATATTCGATTATGACGATTGTCAATTCGTCGTGTCGGAACTGCAAGTAGTCGTCGATCGAATGTTATCGTTTGTAATACCTAACGAATGATCGCGAAGGGAGGTTATCATATGGGATGAGAACACATTCATTAAGGTCAAGTTGTTTGTCGAAGAAATTTTTGCATTATTTAAGTTAATGGAGTGCGATAGGAATTTAGGGGAGTAAAAATAGCGATGAAAATAATTAACGATTCAGCAGATTTATTCAGCAGTTATTATAGTCAGTTATTATGATCATCGTTACATGGAGTTGTTATAAAATAGCGATTGAGGAGATTGATGCATTTGTGGTTGAAACACAACTCTATATCAATCATTTTGTATTTGCACTGTGTGCTTAATCACATTGTAAAATGACTTAAATTTGGTGCAGCAAAAGTTAGTAACGTGCAATAAGATTTGAAGAAAGAGTTCTTTCCCTTATAGAAATATCATACTAAGAATCATTGATAATTACTTATTATCCAGTATTTTTAATACTGAAAATAAGTAATTATCAACGATTCTTAGTATGATATTTCTGTAAGGGTCGGGTATGGATAGAGGACAAAATCTGTGCGATTTAGAGGCGTCGTTGAGGATGTTAAACGTCTCGCTTTCACAAGGATACGTTGTGCAGAGTTGTGTACATTATTCATTTCCTTGACTAAAGTTAGACGCTACATTGTCGTGTTATACAAAATCTATTGTGATTTTTGTAAAAGTGGCGCGTTATCCGAAATAAGCATGTGTCATGAGCCATCAATTTCTCGTTAAGTTCCAATTGGACCGACGCGACGGTACCTATTCTACGGTCCTATGCTTTCGGTCGAGCATAATAAAGTAGGTTAGATGGCTTTACACAAGCGTATAATTTCTCGAAACAGTACCGATAACAGGTATCTGTTAAATATTCATGGTAAGTCGATCGGGGGCTCTTACATCGCTTCGCATTTGCATGTCGCCTTGTGAATTCATAACAAAGTGATGCCTTGAAAACGACGTTTCTTCTATTTATATATCAATATCATACACACACACACACACACACACACACACAATGTGTGTGTCATATATCAAATTCATTATAATATTTCAATTATGTCAAAGTGTTGGCGGTCAATATTTTACCGTTAAATCGTCAACGAATTTTTAGCAAGATGTAAACCAATTCGTTGATATTCTCTCCGTCTTAAAGAAATCTGTTTAAAAATCTGCGATTCTTGGGTCGACTATTATGGATTACGATAAAAAGTCAATTAAATAAAGTAAGACGTGGATTAAATAAGTTATTACTTTGTTAAAGATACAAGTTCATGTGGACTCGGAGTCTATTCAATAACAAAAAGCTTTCAAATTACGACGTCTACGTAAAGTGAATAATGGATGTCACAACGTATGTCATTTCATATGTCAGTCTTCTCGATTGGAAAGCCGAATATCTAAGCGTAAGCATCTAGGAAATTATTAATAGCTTTTTTTGCCTGTTCTTTCTTTCTCTCTCTCTCTCTCTTTTTTATTACATTATCGATGCATCAAGTTCGCATCGACCAGATCTTGCCGTACCATGCGGCCATACCATGCGTCAAATGACCAAATTACAAATCGGCCAAATTCTTTCCCAAAGAGTGCAATTGCGCCTCTTTGTAAAGATCTCTTTTGCCATTGTTTTTTGTCTGGCGTTTTAAGAATAATAGCGAATTCGGCAGCTTGCACTAGTGCGCACTGAATCCGCACAAGCGTTAAGGCTTATTTACAGTACATTCTTATATTTAAGATCGTGTCTTAAATACATATTTAAAAACATTTTAGCTAATAAAATGATTCGTACGGATGTTGTACATATCATATTATGCTTAAAAATATTTAATAATTTATTTAAGACAATCTTTAAATATAATAACATACTATGAACAAGCCTTAATGTGCACTCAGTGCAAGCAACCGAATTCGCTATAAGAAACAATCCGAGCGATAATCTCTTTGTATAGTTTAATGGCGCGTTCATCTATTTAAGATACACTATTGAATGGTTTGGATCAACGAGAAAAAGAGAGAGGAAGAGGAGAGATATACGACCATCTGTTTCTTGATTAGTATTAAGGTTGGAGTTATCTTACGCATACGAAACATTGAAAAATACATACGATAACGAAATACATAAGCAAGTTTTTCGTACTTCTTTTTTGAAATTTTTCAGTTACACAATTTCAGTGCTTAAGAATTATACGATAAAAAATGTCAATTAAACACGGTATTAGTCGGCATTAGAACGACGTGTTTATAGAAACGCGATATTCGTCGACATGTTACAATTACAGTTTGAATTAGAAAGTTCAAGTACGTCCGTAGTTGGCGCTTAGACTTCGGTAAAGTATAGAGACATATATACAGAATTTAGACTCGTTCCTTAGACTGGTTTGAATACTTTCTCGTTACGGTTCTCTTTCACGTGTTCTTCAATCGATTGTAAAACGAGAGCATAAATTTCATATTAGCTTTGCGCGTTAAACGCTCGACATGCCCTTGTTCCTATATGATACGTTAACCAGCGAGTATCTGGACAGCTGTCGTCACCGTGACGGATCCCACGGAGACACATGCGCGCATTCACTATTTTACACTGTAAAACAGTGATTGTTCCTCAAGCTGCTTCAAAGCTGTTGCGTCGGAAGGCCGCAAAATTTATTAACGTTCAACCGTTCGGTTGGAAAGAAGCTTTTGCGAGCAATTATCTTACGACAAAATTGCCTTCGAGTTTAATGTCGGGACCAACAATACCATTTGACATGATGTTAAAAATAGTGCTTACGACGACAGAAAAAAAGATGTGACAATGCGTTACGACATGCTTTACTCGTTACAATGTGTTACGAAGCGCTACGATCAAGTATGTCTACGCGACACATACGCGTCAATTGACCAATTAAACGAGTATCTTTGCAGCATATGGAATATGGCGATTTGGATCGATCATACTTTTCAAACTTGAAATTGCGTCAAACGTTTTCCGCGGAGAAAATTTCCGTAGAGACGAACATGTCGAGCGTGACGCTAATTTAGCCGCGCGTTGTCAGCCTCATTTCGCGTTGTTTATTCGTCGAACTCCGTCCGAGAAAACAGTTGTGCCGGCAGGAACTTGACATTGAACCTGTACAATATGTCCCTACATGACACACGCATACGCACACGACTCCTCACTTACACACGTGTGCGCCCATTAATTCGACCGTATGCAAAGTATGTGTAGAGTATGTACGAATACGTAGGGAATGAGCGCTTGCGCTGTATCCATGACAACATGTGGTTCTTACGACCTCTACTTATTCCCAAGTAGACAAACCATTATGGTATTGTCGCGCGACAACGTCGCAAGAAAGCTCGCTGTTAAAGCTCCGTTGTGAAAGCGTTGTGACTCGTACCGCTTTGTGTCGTCGCCCGACGTAATTTGTATCTAGTCAGGTGAACGAAGCAAACTACCGTTTGAGTGTAGTCCTGTGAATACAGTGTTGGTGGCGACGCGTACACACACAGGTCATTCGTCGATCCTCGCGCTCACGTCAGGAAAACTCAGAGACGAAGAGAATAGAGTAGAGAGATAGAGAGAGAGAGAGAGATAGAGAGAGATAGAGATAGAGAGAGAGAGAGAGAGAGAGAGAGAGAGAGAGAGAGAGAGAGAGAGAGAGAGAGATCTTTTTAATCTTGGTTTTGTTTTGTCAAGTACGTCTCCATACAATCGTATATTGCATCTGCGAGGTAATTGATATTATATTGATTTGCGCGTGACGAGTTTTTCTCAACAGCCCTTACTCAAATTTCATGGCCGCAATTTTATCTGTGTCTCAGAAACTGTGTTCTACAGTTTATTCGAATGCAGTCGCTTTTGAATTGAACTCGTTGACGAAAATATCATTGATGTTTGTACAGTGCAGTGACTCCATGATAAACAGATTCGGTCATGTTTTAGGAGTCATTGTCCAAGGTGTATAGTTTCATGCGCTGACGACTGACAACTTTTTACGGACTTTGTACGATGTATGCGAGTTAGATTTCACGAGAGAAAGAAAGTGAGAGAGATAAAATATAAAAATTTTACGTAGAAAAATTCTATTCTCAGCTATTCGAGAAAATCTAATTTGACCAACATACAAGTCATTTGACGTTTCCTCGATGTAGATGAGTTAAGATAACATCTCTATTGATTTAGTTCTTATCGAGCTCTTAAAGTTTCAATCCTACTCGGTGGCTTGGTTTGGTGCTGATAAAGAATATGGTAAAAAGAAAATATATAATGTATATAATATGCAAAAGCAAGGGAGTGTATGGCGAAGCTCGCGTGTAAATAATACACATTGATAAAGTGTGGCAATGTAATTTCAGGGCGTTCGTTAATCCATATAGACTTCCTACTTGAAGCATCGCGGTGAATTTGATGACCAAGTAAACTTGATTGCACGATGTATCGTCGCGAGTAAATTTTTCGAAAGTCCAAGCAACGTAGATGTGGACAGTGATCTTGCTGAGTTTCATCCTAAAGTGTCTATTGAAGAAGCTGCGTCGAATAGATTCGATGCAAATCAACACGTGGCAAGTGCATACGCCTCCATCTTTGGGTCGTCGTTTCGTAGGAGAGAAGGTTCAATTTCACGGATAAAGCGGATCGCGCGGATCGCGCATCTGGAAGAGAAGCAGTAACGTGAACAAACGCGATACAAATCAATCCAATGTGAAACATCCGATCGAGCGCGGGTGATCGAGTGAGATATAGCGTACGTTGCGCGTGATTTCTTAGGGTAGAACTCAAGGTGTCGAGCAGCAAGATGAGTTTGCTCACAGAAAGCATGTGAGTAAATGGCCGTGAAAGGATCGTGCCAGTCTTCGAACGACCTACTATGGGCATCTGCCTGGACACTGGTTAGTACATTAACCAAAAATCGATTTTTCTCTCTTTTCCTCCGATGTATGCATATCTTTTTCATCTCGTTCTGTTCTGCTCGTGAACCGACTTCCGAATTTCTTTGAAAATACGGGAAACAAATTATCCGTGCATTTTGTCGGCTATAAAACTTTATCGGAATGATCTTGGAAATTCGATATCAGACTGTTCATTTACTCCGCCAATGTATTATTCAAGCTAAATTGAATTGTACAGAATCATGCTCTCACGAGACACAGGTTATACGCGAGCAACAATGCGCATTCGGCGATCGTTTATTCATACATCTTTAATATTTACAAGCACCGATCTTCTCGGAAGCTGGACAATTATTGAATCGTCGCAACGCATCCAAAGAAAGAATTCTTTCTTTCCGATTCTCTCTTCTTTCTTTTTTTTTTTTTCTTTCCAGTCGCTTTCACTCGATGCAAGACGCGCAACGAGATATTTACGATTATCACGAGTACGTATCGCGATCGATATTGCAGAAGCGACACTACTGTACGACGGCAAGTCTTTCCTCGCCATCGTGGTAAACTTGTCACGAAATATCGCACAATATGTGCAATTTACAACTTGTCGCGTCGATTTCCAATTATTAAGTCGTGATCTGACTCAGGAATGTTGTTAATAAATAAATAAATCATGTTATGTCCATTTCCTCATTCGTTCTTTATTGATATCCGGCGTGATCGCAAATTTTTACGATCTGAAAACGAGCAGATAAGCGTGATTCGCGCATACTCACACAGTAATTAGTATCATTTTCAACATGAAAATTGACGCATAATTTATAGCGGAAAGCTGTACTTCTTGGTGCTTTACTTTGCTTCCTTTCCTTAGCTGATATCTTCGACACTAGATGATAATATCGCGATAATACGTAATAATTGACTTAAACGCTTATATATGTATATCTCCGTCGTAAGCGTTTGCAAACGTTCATTCTTCACTACGCGATTGTGCGATCATTTTCAATGCGATGATCAATCTTCATCAATGATTGAATTGTTTGATCCCACGTGCATCACGTGACAAATAACACACACGTGTAATAATTGTGCATGTTTTATGTACAGCCTCTCGCTTTTGTGTAAAGTCGTCAGCTTGGTCATGCGAGTGACAGTGAACAGCGATAATAGGGATAAGAAAATTGTACATGTAAACCGATTTTTTATCGGTACAAATACCACTTTACGGACTACAATAAGCGAGATAATATGCAAATACGTAAAATCGTGCGGAACGATAATCTCTTAGCTACTTTTCAATCGAAAATCCTCTGGCAGAAACCTGAAATGTCAAATTTTGTTTACAAGTTGCGTTATACAATGTATATCCGAACTTTCCTCAATCTTTCGAAATCTCAAGAGCTGTGTATAATAACATGCTTTACAAAATAACAATCAATGTGTCGTAGATCAACAAAATGGATCGCAGGTGTTCGAGGAAGGCGATGCTCGAGCTACAGGAAGATGGCGAGGAGAAGCTGGTCTTTTGGCGACGCCACCAGATGGACATTTTCCAAAACAGAATGTCGGTCCTGTCAAGTTTGAAATACCAAAAGTTCCCGTTATATTCGTACTTGGTTAGCAAGAAAATCGCGCTTTTCTCTTGGTCTTTATATCTTTGCAAACAACACATTCACAGGTTCCGTTTTTATTTGTAATGTAGGTGGCCCTGGTAGTGGTAAGGTGACATATTGCGATAATTTGATACAGGAGAAGAAGGGAATAACGCACATCAATATGATGGATCTTCTTCAGCAATATGCACTGGGAAACGGTACATGCCTTGTGTATACAGATACACATGTACAGTAATGTCATGATCGTTTGCAAATAGAATTTTAACAAAGGAACACACGCAATAAACCTTGAGACGCTATTTTTAAGAATGCGTTTTATACTAGCAGATACTAGCATATTACTATTCTTTCCGACATATGGGATAGATTGTCTATATTTTTTTCATTCAGTGACTAATTTTATTTTTTATTGAGATTGATATTGCATGATATACATATAAAATTCGTCTTGACTTTTTATACATATATTTTCAATACCTAATAATTTATTTAATAATAAATTTATTAAATTTCAAACTTAGATATGCAAGATTTCGGACAACTTAGTAGCAAGACCGTGACAGAAGTACTTATGCTCGAAATGAAAATGTCCCCAGGAGCTAAAGTGTTTCTCGTCAGCGGATATCCGCGAAATATGCGCGATGTAGTGGAATATGCCGAGAAAGTGAGTGTATCGCTTGTTCTTTCAAGAAACTTTTATCGTTGCGCAATTGTAAATTCTGCGAGATACTGATTTGAATAATAATGTTAATATATGTGTAACTTGCAGATAAAGATCGTTAATGGCGTTATTCTCGTGTCCTGGAGGCAGGAAGTGCTAGAGAGACAAATTGACTTCGGAGCGCAACTCGGTCATGTTATCATCGGATTAGCTAGAATGGAGTTGCATAATTTTTATAGAAACGTTATGCCAGTTGCAGAATATTTTGATCAAAGCGGAATGTTGCTCGAGGTAAAGAAGCTCACTATCGACTATTGCGCCTCAATAGACTTTTTTATTCGTCATTAGTGCACGTTTGTCGTGCATGCGATGCGACTTGTAAATTCGACTTGCGTATTATGCTCGAATAATGTATAGTTAATTATGGCGCGGATTGTATGTTTATTGTATTGCATTTGTTTATTGCGCATAGGTGAACGGAGAGCGTAATCCGAGTGAGGTTTACGTTAGTTTTCGGGATGCCGTACTTAGAATTCTCGATATATCAAGCGGCGAAATTCGTGATCAGGATATACCTCAATCCTTGGAAGCCGAAGTAAGTACAAATCAAAATAATTGCTTTTACGTCGATGCAAAGTAAATGTAAGTGAATCGGATGATTTACCGAATAGAGTGAGAGAATTATTCCTCATTCGTCAATATTACATCTATGTGCAACCGACTTTTCGATTCAAGTGATTTGAAAATGATATCTTTGACACAATTGTATGTATTATTCGTATTTACATCCTGTCGCAGGTCGAAGTGGAGAGAAGAATAGAATCAATTTCAAATTCTCCACTAGCTAAGCAACAGATCGTGCCAACCGAAATAACATCACCTTCAGCACCAATAAATGTATCATCGAAAACCGCTGATAAACCGAGAAAGGGGTTGCCGTCATTTATCTGGGTTATAGGTATACACACACACACACACACACACACACACACACACACACACACACACACACATATATATATGCAAACTCAAACGAATCAGAGCGAATCAAACAAGACTGAGTGAAATAAAACTTTTTTTATACTGCCTGCTACAACTAATAATCTTACAAGAATATAATGAAAGAATTATTAATTCTTTCATTAATTGAAAAGGTTAATTAAAAAGGGGAGGAGGGAAGGGAAATAATCAGCTTGAGAAAGCGTTTTTCCTAGTTTCACATTGCACCGCATAATTTTTAAAGCTCCAACGATGAATTCTTTTTGGAATAAAAAGATTATTCCAGGACTCTTAGCAAGATGAAAAACTGAGCCAAAATTGACATTTCACTCCAAAAATTGGCAAAAAAAGATCTATTTAAAGATTCGCGAAGATACAACTACATGAGCGCACTATCAATAAATCAAAAATCAATCTGCATATTTCGTGTTATCCTCGTATAAAACGTGAAAACATGTACGAAAGTCTTCATATTTTCGACTCGAGTTCGCAATACGAGGTATAATATCATCGGCACATCCACATATGATATATGACATATTTTTTGCAACAGGTGGACCGGGAAGTAATAAAGCGGCTCTTTGCACTGAAGCCGTTCGCAACACGCCCGGTTGGCTACATGTAAGTATGGGAGGACTTTTGAGAACGATGGCGTCATCGAATATGGTTGTGAACGAAGCTATCGTCTCGGGCGAGATGGTCCCGCATGATATTGTGATGCAACTTGTGGAGCAACAGATACTTTTAAATCGAGATTCGGACGGTATCGTCATGGATGGATATCCGAGGGACTTGAATCAAGTACAAGAATTCGAAAGCAAGGTAAAAAGGCGTTGCGACTGATTTTATAATTTATCTCTACTCTCCTTTTGTATATTCTGGGCACTAATATATTATTTATATTAATTGTGCGACATTGATAGTTTGGGCAAGAACCGCCGCTGGTGCTACTCGATTGTTCAAAGCTGCAACTTGGCAGAGGAAGATTGGACGACAGTGTTTCGGCATTTAGAAAAAGATTGGAACTCTTTCGCGAGGTGTCCTTACCTATGTTAAAGACATTAGATAGCGACAATCGGTTAACAATTGTACGTATAAATGAACAGCTTCTTCCCAAATCTTATTTACGAATGATAACATATTATTGAGAGAGAGAGAGAGAGAGAGAGAGAGAGAGAGAGAGAGAGACTTGGTTGAATTAGAAATTTATTATAAGAATATGTACTCTCTGTAGCAATCTGTGTGTGTGTGTGTGTGTGTGTGTGTGTTAGTGTATATATTTATTAGCTTGTTTATTGGTTATAAAAATATGGCTGTGAAAAGGTGAATTCGTTTTTACATAGGTTGATGGCGACACTGACGTACCTAGCGTGCAGCAGGATTTCGCTGCCGCATTATATCAATTGATACGTCGGGCGCGTCGTACAGAAGAGGATGATCTACGTGATACGAGTTCTCCGGCGAAAGGACACGATCAATACCCAAATGGGAAACAGGTCGATTATCAAAAGGAGCGTGCGATACTCAACGGCGTTCCCAAACAGATGAACAAGGTGTCTGATTACGTTGGAAAAATGACCGATGCGACAAAAAATGTAAATGGAATCACTGCTCAAGGTAATTAATAAACGTATACGCATACATGTATAATTCTACATGTGTGAGTTTATATATATATATATATATATATATATATATATATATATATATATATATATATATATATATATATATATACACACACACACACACACACACATCACACACATCACACACTTTTTTCTGCACTGCATAGGCGTAGGTGCCATCTCTAATGGTGTGTTGAATAATATGAAGCATATTCAGCAAAACGGCCATATTCATCAAAACGGCATCGCGAATGGCACGACACGTATGCTACAGAATGGCGTAGCGCATTTAGCCAACGGTATCGCGTCGTCTGACAAAAATAAAGTCGCGCCAGCGATGCGCAACTATTTGCCAAAGGATCCCATCAGAAAGATGTACAACGAGGTAGAAGGTTATGAGCAGAATCTTCATATGTGACTCGTCTGTTGGATTAGTCCTCGATATATTCGAACGCTGACCGCGCATTTTTTACTCTTTAATAACTGGCGAACAGCTCGTGTGAAATGCATACTCCGACAGACTTTAGATTTTAGAATTATCTAGAAAGTTGACGCTAGCCCGCGTGCGTGTGTCAACGCAGGTACTGATATATGGTGCCTTGAAACAAATACGACTTAAACTGGTAGAATTAATAGATAGGTATTTAACTCGTACGTCCACTATAAAAAGCCAAAAATGGACTCGACAACAGTATTTTCGATGACAAGATAATAATCATTAGAGAGTGTTACACATATAATCACATACATAAAGATGTTATTATTACAACTTAGACAATCTACTAATAACTTGTTTATAAAAAAAATATATATATATCTTAATCTCCTCCGACAAATATTAACATCGAATTAATATAATTGCATTTAGCCAAGTTATATACATATTATGATTGCAACGATACAAGATAGAAATGCTATATAACGAATATTTATAACTAATCGTTTGAAGTGATGTTTTAAAGTATACGTGCAAGAAGAGGACAAAAGTACCTGATGTGAAAGTATCGAGATGACCGAATAACTCAAACTGTTTTATAACTCCATCCGCTGGCGGATTTGTATGTGGTACTGTTATTCGTTAACAGATTGAAAACAATTTATAAAGATATTTTCACCATTGCTACCATAAGCCGTTGCATCTCAACATAGATATCACTTATACTCTAAAAAAAATTGACAAATCAATCGGTGCTCTCTGTGATCGTTATATGAGATACAAGAGCAAAAATCTCAACAAAAGTGCTTTACCGCTCATTTTCAGTCTCACTTCTTTTTATTTTCATTGCAATCGAATACATATCTTTTATATCTTCCTAGTTACGCGTAACAGTTAACGATCGCGCGAGAGATACAATTAATCTCTTTTTTTTATTTATTTATATATTTTGCCTTTGACGTCATTTTATATAAATTTCAGTCTCTATACGATTTCGTATTTGCTGACTGTTCGCGCGTGAAACTACATATATTCCCGAGTACACAAA